GTAGAACGCACCTAGTTTGAAGTCGTTTGCCATAGTGGTTGTCATGATTCCCAGCATTAGACAGTGGAATTGGTACATTCTCAAGCGTTACGCCGGCATCATCAATGAGTTTTGCCATTCTCAGCGTCAAGCTACGAACTCGTTAGACAAGTGAAATCAATCCCTCGACAAACGTACTCTTTCTGTCCTAGCCTATCTATCTACTCTTTACCCTCTTATCAAACTCCCGCCCTATCACAACTTCTCACATGTTTACATTTAACTCGTCAAAATGTGTGCGCCTTTGTGGCAAATCTAGTGTGCCCTCATCACACTTGTCTCTTGGACGAGTTCGTAGCTTGGTGCTGAGAATGTCAAAACTCACTGATGATACCGGCGAAACGCTTTAGAATGTACTAAGTCCATTGTCTGATGCTGGGAATCATGACAACTACTATGGCAGACGACTTCGGACTAGATGCGACCTACTAAGATCCCCTGACAACAAGACCAAGCTGCGTCAACGAGGTCAACCCACTTCTTGCCGTATAATAGTTCGCCAAGATGGAAGCCAGGCAAGGTCCGATCGCTAGTCCTTGTATTTGTTCGTATAACTTACCATCAAAGGTAAAATATGTGGTACTCATTGTGGTACCCCAACAATGTTATCTCAGAAGATTAATCGAAACCCAGTTTCTCTTCCTATCTACTTCACATTCAAAGGCAGCATCTATAAACATACATTTGGACTTCCTATGGGATCGCCTCACTCACCTCTAGTTGCAAATGTATACATGAACTAATTAGAAGAGAATTTCACTCAAATAGATGAATACTTCGCAATTGAGTCGCATGGAAATGAAAAATTGGAGGATCACTAGAAGAATATATAAGAAAAGATTGATTAAAGAATCAAGTTCACAATGGAGGAAGAGGAAGAGGAGCGTTTACCTTTCCTAGTTCTTGAAGTCATTCGCTCTAATGGGACAATCAAGCGAATATTGTTCCGAAAGAAGTTATATGCCGGAATAATAGTCAGTTTAGAGTCTCCACACAATTACAGACCAGCGATCAGAATACTGAGGAACATGATAATCAGAAGCCTATGATTAATAGGATAAAGAATTTGAAAAGTTAATCCGGATATGCCTCAGCAACGGATATCAGAGATACGTTATACAAAGAAACATATGGGTCGCGAAAAATCGATGGGAGGACGGGAATTATGAAAGGAAAGTAAGGATGGAGAAAGACTAACAAAAGTAGATATTCCTAACTTCCAGCGAACTAATTCAAAGACTATGGCCAATACTAAGAAAATGGAATATTCTGGTGACTACGGAGGAAAAAGCAACACTCTTCACAAGTTTACCCATGAAACATGAGAGAGTAGACAAATTGGGTTGCTCTGGAGTTTACTGCATATCATGCGGTGTCTTAAAAGAGAAATGCATTGACGAAACATAGAGAAGGTTTAGCATACGAATCAATGAGCATCAAGGGCTCTGCGTGACCGAAAGATTAGAAATATCGAAACACATTGCAAAGACTGGACATGAAATTAAATGGAAGCCAAAGGAAAGAATGGCATCATACGTTGAAAACACAACGAAACGGAAGATCAGGACGGCCATTGATATACTTGGAGAAAAAAGTTAATTTTTCGTAAATCAGTAGGTATTCGAGATTGTCAGTAAATCAGATAACGTTAATGAATAGAAGATTTGAAGAAGGCAAATAAGGCGATAACTTTGCCTATTGTTTAAGCAAATTCGGAGAAAACAAGGATACGACAAGACAAGCAAAAAGGAGATGTCTCGATCAAGGATCTATCGTTAATCAGAGAAAAGGGGGTCGCAAGGAAGAAGAGAGTAAGGAAGTCTGGGAAATCAAGCAAAGACGCTCTCTGTGAGGATAATCTGTTCGAAGAAACTAGGGCGACGGCTAATCACATCCGTCACAGAAATTCGGCATTATCGCCAAATTGACTAGAAATCCATTCAGATGCAGCATTCAACCCGAGATAGATGTCTACACTTTGCTCAAAGTACTCGGGAAAAATAAAGAAGATGGCACTTGAAGGCAATGCCTAATAGCCGCAAGCATGGGAATCAGAACCTGGACGCTCTTCCGATGAGGTAAGATTTTACGTGCTATTTAAGGCTCGATAAATAGAGCTTAGTTAAATTGATCAACCAGAAAGATAAGAAACAAATCTACGGGACCATGAGGCAGATCCGGACGGAAGGCCCGATTCGGATCAGCCAGTCGAAAGGCAGGGGAGCAAGGCAAACAGCAGATGTGATGACGCTACGGTAAACTCGCCAAAAGGGCACACCTCTTGAGGAATTGAATAGAACAAAGTCAGAAGTTGTGATAGGGTGAGAGTGGGATAAGAGGGTAGGGAGCAGATAGAGGGGCCAGGACAGAAAGATGGGTGATAACATAACCGTTTCGGCAGAAAGTTAGTCAAGAGATTGACATGACTTGACTCTTTGATGACTTGTAGCTTGGTGCTGAGACTGGCAAGACTCACCGTCATTGCCGGGGAAACGTCTGGGAATTATGTTTAATACTATAGCTGAGGACTTCGGATAAGGTGCATCCAACTAACTAGCCCTGACAACACGAGCAAGTTACAAAAATGAAGTCACGCGTGCAAATATGAAACCATCAAGAATATTTCTGAGTCATTAGAGCACACCAACACTTCGTTTTGGTAACTTGGTCGTGTTATCAGGGCGACTTATATATACACTAAGAAATCAAAATGAAAATATGTGAAGAAGGGCTGGGTCTCGAGTAATTCATTAATAATAATAATAATAGTAAAAGTAATACTTTGGTCATTTCGTAAACACAATACACGTAAAAACATACGTCTAAGCAGTTTTCCCCATGATAAAATCAAGTGTAAGCTGCAAAGAAGTTGCTGCGTCCAGATCCACATCCTTTCTTTATAGTAAATTCATAAATCTGAAAACGTGCAGAGGAGGAATGAAAGAACTTACCAAGTCAAGAGATGCTTCATAAGTATAGCAAACTTGTGTAGAATAGATGGTTATGATTGCAACCAGCCACTTTTGCTGGTTTAACATAGTGGTGTCTTTTCGTAAATGATGGTTTCTCACTCTGGCGATGTCTTTTACTTGGCAGAATAAATCTCATAATGGATTCATTGGGGTGGAAAGAAGGTATGGCGAGGCCAGGCTTTCTTTCTCATTTGGTTATCGGTAAGGTTAATCTACAAATCTATTTTAACCATATTTTCCGTTGAACTGAAAAGTAGCGTCACAGGAATTGTAAACAGTCTGACAAGATTATATAGCTCCTCCCAAAATTCCTTTTAGTTGGAGAGTACATAAATGGGTCGGTTAATTTTCCTGACTCTTTTTTGGTTTTAGGCCGTTGCAAGAATAAATTCAAGGCCTGATTATGTGTTTAGGGGTCATGATGGAGGGTTAGAGATGGAGGTGTTGAGGACCACGTCTGCCTGAGTTTCCTGGTGGGGACCTCTGTTATCTTCTTAGGGGTATATTTACAAGCCCCTTTATCACAGAATTTCATGCTAAATAAAGTCAAATCCACAACATCCGCAACTGCTCGAGACTAGGTTGTCTATAAATTTAACCATTTTTTCATGCTCTGGTGGATTTGAACGGCCGAACTACTCACGAAGAATTGAAGGGACGGCTTGGCACTGCTAGTAAAATACACATAGTAATACGCCAAAAGAGCACTCTTATCTAGAATGGAGTTTAGCTTAATCTTTAATCAGATATCATCAACTATTTTGAATTTTTAGAGACTGGCACGTTATCCTCTTAGCCACATGACTTGCGAGTAGCGTTGTTGTAAAACGGACATGACACTGGTGTACGTTTATCTACCTGAAATTCCCATCATAAATGATATTTTAGGGCGCCCTTGAGAGTCATAGAAGCTCTACAAATAAGCAAGACAATATACTTTAAAACAAACTATAACCATTTAATATTGGCAAGAAGATCCAGATAAACGCACCTTGTCTGTAGTCCACAGAATGCATGATAATTTTCAGAGTCGGACCGTGGATTAGGTACATTCCCAGACGCTTCGCTGACATCGTCAGTGAGGCGAATATGATGACGAACGAAAGCTCAGAACAGAGTCATCGGGGTCGTAGAACGGAGGGCCGAGGTTTTCTTCGCACAATCCAACAGACAAGAGCCCAAGACAACCCTCCTGCTGCATCTGGTGAGGCCAATCTACGAATCTATTCGGCCTGCCTTCTCAAACGAAATGAATAGTACGCCAGTATGCGAAATTATCGCTGATTCCTCCCTCTTACCATCTCCTGTATATCAGGTTCCTTTGAAAGAGGATGTCTACAGCCTGCCTGGTCTTCTGTTTCATTTTGATGCCTTCTTCGTGTTGTGTGAAGAGATTTGTCCTTTTATTTAGGCTTGTATGAATGTCCCATTGTCCTAGTCTTGGCCGTAGCTTCCGAGCCAATTCGCAGAGGTGTAGACATATTCATAATTTTTTGTCTACTCTCTTCGTCTTTCCTGTCATAACCTTCGTCCTTCCATCTGTTCATCACCATACGTATGTTGTATTGTTTCTTCTGGATATCCGTTTCAAAGAGACATCTAAGTTAGCTTTCCCAGCTCCTATTCCAGGAACTCAGAATCAATGAGTCGTAAGCTTCTTATGATCATAGTCCGGAGTATTCCAATCTTTATCCCATAAGTATGGTTCGACTAGAAGTTGAGTTATTCCAGCCTGCGATTTCTTTCGGAACAGTTTATTCTTGAGAATTTCTTCAGACCGATTGGCTTCCACATCCAACAACAATAACAACACATCCATGGTAAATTTGACTATTTCATCCATTTCGTTTACGAAGATCAGGAAATCGTATAATTTTTATCTTCCATGCGACCCAATTTCGAAGTATTCATGCAAATATCGCACGATTACTGTTGGCTCCTGGGATGACATCCTGAAATTCTCCTCCAACTTGTCCATGAATACATTAGCCAACATAGGTGAGCTCATAGTCAGGCCAAATATTTGCTCATAGATGAATGTGAAATAGGTTGTTCTTATTGTTATGTTGATTAATCGGGTTAGGGACTATCTACGCACTCGCTCTGTCTCCAGGATGTCATTTTCTTTTTCCAAGATATCCAGTAGTGCGATGAGTGCTTTTTCTCCTGTAATATTAATGTTAATGGACTGTACATCAAAAGTCACCGAAAATTCGTTTCTTCCCACGCCATTGATTTTTCGGCAAAATTCGTATGGGTTCTTCACTGTATTCGATAATCTGTCATTCACTTTCTTTAATTTGAGGCAGATAAATTCCTCCAATTTATATGTCGGTCCATGTTTGTTGTTGATTATTAGTCTCAATGGCTCTCCGTTTTTGTGTGCCTTCTGCAAACCGTATGTTACTGGTGCTCTTGCATCCGTAGTATGATTGAGTTCATTGTCCATTTTCCCCTTCCTACAGTATTTCTTGCATTGTAACTCTGATTTTAACTGTTGGGTCTTTTGTTAGTAGTCAATACGTTGTAGTGTCCACGAAAATATTTTACATTTTCTCTGTATATTCCTTCCTGCCCATCACCACTGTGGCACTTCCTTTGTCGGTTTTTAGGACTATAATCGTTTTTTTTCAATTCTATACAAATCTTAGTTATATTGTCCCTTTGTGTGGGTTCTTGGTTCGCC